CGTAGATGTATTTTCAGGTTCAATTAGGAGACAGGAAATAGCAGAGCAGTTTGAACAGAGAACGTTGGATGGTAAGAGTTGAGGTCATGGGAGAGCAGCTCCTAAGGAGTGAAGAGAATCACAGAGAACGCAGGATGTGATAGAGCAGCGCCAGGCTGGATCCCAGGTCTGAGATCCCGGCTGCCTGGCAGAGGAGCTTCTGAAGTCACAGAGCTGCCTTGGGTCGCATTGTGGATGCTGTCCGTAGGGAGAGGCCATGCCAGCAGCCTCCACTGGGAAGCTATTCTCAGAGCCAGGCAAGTGCCTTACCTCAGAACCCAGGCAGGGGTGGAAGGGCAGCCGGTGGAGAAGGGCTAAGCCCGACACTTCCCATACAGCTCCCCCAGATGTGCTGTGGGACATGTTTGTGAGAGGAGCTGCTGAGTGCACTCTGCTGTGGCTCTGCTGTGGCTCTGCTGCGGGCATGCTTCCCTGGCACTGTCCATGCACTGAGCCGTCCGCCTAGAGAGGAGCACAGCCAACTGCACAACAAACTCCGTCCTCCCCAGCATCCTCCCAGTGCCCTCTAGTGACACTTGACTTCCCCCAGGAGATGTGTCTGAAGCACGGCAGATTGGGGGGTCTAAGGCAATAAATTGAAACCTAATATAATATATAAAAGGTTATTCAGGAACTATATCTTCTGATAAGTAAAATCTGTGTGAAGTTTGAGCTGGCTGGTTTTATGTCAGCTTGACACAAGCTGGAGTTATCTGAAAGGAGGGAATCTCAATTGAGACAATGCTTCCTATGGTCCAGCTGTAGGGCATTTTCTTAATTAGCGATTGATGGGGGAGGGCACAGCCTATTGTGGGTGATGCCATCCCTGGCTGGTGGTCCTGGGTTCTGTAAGAAAGCGGGCTGAACAAGCCATGAGGAGCAAGCCAGTAAGCAGCTCCCCTCCATGGCCTCTGCATCAGCTCCTGCCTCCAGGTTCCTGCCCTGCTTGAGTTCCTGCCCTGACTTCCCTCAGTGATGGGCTTTGGTGTGGAAGTGGAGGCCCAATAGACCCTGTCCTCCCCGGTTGCTTCCCTCGTGATGGTTCATCACAGCAGTCGTAAAGTAACCCTAACTAGGATAAAGTTCAGAGTGAGCAATCGTTTCTCCTATTCTTTTAAATCAGTTTTTCACAATAATAGTAGTTCTCCACTTTACAGTTCTCCTCTTTGAGTTAGCAATTACAGAAAATTCACTGGAGCCCCGGATGTGTTGGAGATCACTTTACCTGCTAAGAGGAAAGTGAATGGGAACCATTATCAATATAGCCAAGTCAATTCTGAAGCTCACTTCCTAGGTTTCACTTCCTCTGTTTAAAAGTGTGTAGATTTTGCTGAGATGCCAGAGTGCAGCCATTTCTTCCCCGATCAGCCCACCCACCCAGTAGAGCACCTTTCCCCTCATGTGACATTGTTTTATTGTTTGTTTGTCTTTATGTTTTTATTTTGTTCTGTATGTGAGAGCGGGTACATGCCACAGCATGCATGTGGATGTCTGAGGGCAACCATGTGGGTCCTGGGGTTTGAGCTCAAGTCCTCATCGCTGGCAGCAGGCCATCTTGCCAACCCCTGTTTTATATTTTATAACTTTCCCCAGTCGATAATAATTCCCTTATTCTATGGAAAGCATCAAAAGCACTTCAAATAAATTCTCTTGGGAAAATGTATTTGCTTTTAAAATACATTTGTGTTTGTTCAAAAGATTAAGAAGACATTTTACAATTATGTTAAACTCCACTAGGAAGGTGCAGGCTTCTTTCTGTTCTCTACAGAACACTTCCCTCCTCAACTGTTTTAGACCTTGGCGTGCTTATATTGTTGTGCTCAACTAGTGGTCCATCCACGTCAACTGAGTCATCTGCTTGAACTAACTGAGTCAGCAGGATGCCCCACAGGCGCAGTGACGTCAAGGTATTTGATGGGTGTCAGGTGCCACATCCACTTGGATATCCATGGTGCCTCAACCCTCTGCTCTGGGGTAGGAGCCTTACCCCAAGGCAGTGTGGTCCTCTACACTCTTGCAGTATTTGTGATTAGCTAAAAAGCACCTGCCACAGACCTCCTCTGACCTTATATCTCTGGTGAAAAAGAACAATAAGCAGGATAAATCTTATTGATTGTAGGTTCTAAAGAGAAGAGCATAAAGATAAAAAAAAAAAAGATGTTCCTTATTTGAATATGAAATGCTTAAATATAAAGTTCCATTCTGAGAAATGTATCCCTAGGTGATTTTGTGTGACTGTCATAGATCATAGAGTTTACTTACACAGACTGAGACAGCTACTGTGTCTGAGATCCTATCCTAAGGTGATAGGATCTCAGGGGTCCACTGTCATATACACCGGCCACCATGGACAGAAACACCATTATGTGGCATGCTTGTGGCTTTGTGGAAATAATGGTTTCCTTAGCAACTGCTATCGACTACCTCTTCTGTAATGTGTAACACTTTCTTTTATAGCCTGGACCTATATTATCAAAATTGCTTAGTTCCTTATTCAGGGATGTCTCTCTAGGATTTTCTTTCATTTCTCCCTGTCACTCCCAAGCAAGATGAAATTTGCAAAAAAAAATTTTAATTGCTTTTAGGCAGTTACTCATTCTGGAACTACTCTCTTGAAAACTTTTATGTATTTGACAAGACAAGATTCATGTTCAACCCTAGCAGTATTTATGATCCCCAAATCAAGGATGCAGACCAAACAGTTGTGTGACATTTTGATCCTCTTCCCCACCAACACTAGAGGCAGTAGACTAGGCAGCTGGCACTGCTTTGGAATCAAGTTCAGACAGAAATGAGCACTTATTTGTCAAATAAAATAGCCTTTTTATAATTACTAGCAAAAAAATGGTTGATGTCTTGGTGTTTTTTTTTTTTGGTGTTGAAAATTGTGTGTGTGTATGTGTGTGTGTGTGTGTGTGTGTGTGTGTGTGTGTGTGTGTGTGTGTGATTCCTCAGGTACCTTCCATCTTTTGAGAGAGGGTCCCTTACTGGCCTCGAACTTTGCCAAGTAGCCAGACTAACCAGCCAGGGAGCTCCAGCGATCCGCCTGTCTCTGCCTTCCATTTCACAAGCACTGGAATTACAAGAGTGCTCCATTATGTCCGCAGCATCCCCAGCTTTTTACATGGGTTCTGGGGGACTGAACTCAGGTCCTCATGCTTGGAAGGCAGGTGCTTTACCAACAGAGCCAACTCTCTAACCCAATGTCTTGTTTATTTAAAAAAAAAAAAAAAAGCATATTAAAAGCAATTGAGTGCTTGCCTATCACAGTCAGGCCCCGGGTTTGATCTCCAGCACTTCCCCAAACAAGTAGCATATGAAAGCTGCATGAAGCTTGGAAGCCATTAGTGTGTGAGCAATATTATTTGAGTTATGCTTGTATCCAGAACTATGTATTAAATGCTAATCTCGTTTCCTCATGAGAGGTTTTGTAATCCAGTTGTAGAAACAAAAGAATCTATGTGCAGTTAAAAGCATGAGGCACAGTTGAGCTACTCGTGGCCAAGTGCAGCGTGAGGTCACGTAAGCCCTGTGCTCTGCTGAGGGCCTCAGACACCGGATATTGGTCACTGTCGGGACTAGTTAAGGAAAAAAGGCCCTCTTGCTGGCCATCAAAGGAAGAAAGAAGTGAGATTATTGAAAACCCTTTCCATGATTTGGCTAGGCCCTGATAGCTTCCTAGAATATGACTTCTGTGGCATGTGGGCCAGTGAGGTCTCTGGGGGCTCAGGCGTGTCTTTGGAGCTGTGCTTTGGAAAGCCTCATTTTTCTGTCATTATACAGGAGATTTCTATAGTAACGATCATGCTGACAGGTCCTGTGGAAAGCTGGTTACCAGGCTTCTCCAGGGAGTCTCAAGCCATGGGGAAGTGCTCTTCCTCCTCCCTCAGCCACCAGACAGGAATGAAACCTTCCCACGAAACTTTAAAGATAGAGAAAGCATCGAATATTCAGGGGGTAACGATGAGCAGTTAGACAAGCTTCCAACTCCGCAGACATTTAATAGGTAACGTCTATGATCCGAGTTTTGTGTTGGGTGATGATTCTTTCCTTAAAAAAGCCAGACAGAGCCCTTACCTGTTAGGTGCTCTCAACACATAATCCTCCTGCCTCAGCCTCTCCAGTGCTGAAATTACAGGCTACCTACCACATCAGTTTTGTGAGGATATCATTTAGGAAGCTTGAGATTTATTTGAAGGGGAGACTTAGTCATCCTTGTATGTGTGCCTGTATCGAGTGTATCCCCGTGTGCCTGTAGTAAGTGTGTCCTTGTGTGCCTGTAGTGAGTGTGTCCTTGTGTGCCTGCAGTGAGTGTGTCCCCGTGTGCCTGCAGTGAGTGTGTCCTTGTGTGCCTGCAGTGAGTGTGTCCTTGTGTGCCTGCAGTGAGTGTGTCCCCGTGTGCCTGCAGTGAGTGTGTCCCCGTGTGCCTGTAGTGAGTGTGTCCCGTGTGCCTGCAGTGAGTGTGTCCCCGTGTGCCTGCAGTGAGTGTGTCCCCGTGTGCCTGCAGTGAGTGTGTCCCCGTGTGCCTGTAGTGAGTGTGTCCCGTGTGCCTGTAGTGAGTGTGTCCCCGTGTGCCTGCAGTGAGTGTGTCCCCGTGTGCCTGTAGTGAGTGTGTCCCGTGTGCCTGCAGTGAGTGTGTCCCCGTGTGCCTGCAGTGAGGGTGTCCCCGTGTGCCTGCAGATCTCTCTCTTTCTCACTGTTTTACACCAATCCTGAATTTGTGTTTCCCCCTCGACTAGTGACCACTTTGACCTCAGTGCTCACATGATGTCACTAATTCAGCTGGTTGTGATGTGGATGGAGATGGACTGGAGTAGTGTGTAGAGCCTCACCTGTCCGTACCCTGCCTAGAGCGTAGCACCTAGCTGCCACCTTAGTGCTTAGCTGCAGCACCCATGATGGTCCCCGTACCTCCTCTTCCTTTCCACTTCCTGCTCCCCTTATCTCTGGTTTCCACGCAGATGCTGATATCAGGAGGAGTGCGGTCTCAAACGGCAAAGCATCCATCTCCCAGAACTTGTGAGTGTTTTTCATTCATTTTCATAACCTTGGGGTACATGGAGAAACGAACTCGGGTCACGGCCCGTGGTTGAGAAAGGTCACGGAGAAAGCCATCCCGTTTCAAGAAGAGGCAAGGTTCAATGATGGCCCCGCCTGGTGGTGTCCGTGCAAGGGGAGAAAGACCTCGTCTCTGAGAGGTGCAGTAGCAGTTTGACTGACCTACGTTAGAAACAGGCAGAGTGTCCGTTCTGCAGTGAAAGAAACTGAGCTTGAGAGAAAGGAAAATACAGAACTCTTAACTGCAGTACCACCCGATGCTGGTAGGTGAGATAGGGCCTTGTCTGTAGTCTCAGGACAGTGAAGAAGAACAACAGTATTTTTTTCACAGTGCATGTGTGTCAGGCACTGAGTGAAGAAACGCAGCAGACTCTGGGTGCAGCCAGAGCTATAAAGTTCAGGCGTGTGGTCTCAGGCCCTGAAAGGAAGCGCCTGTCTTCCGACTTCGTGCCCTCAGCTCCCCTCCGTTCTCTCCTTCCCAGCTCTCATTGCTTCCTGCACTCCACATCTGCTGAGGCAGTGGCCATGGGGCTCCTGAAGCAGTTTGAGGGCATGCAGCTTCCAGCTGCCTCGGAGCTGGAGTGGCTGGTTCCAGAGCACGATGCCCCACAGAAGGTAGGCTCCTCCCACTCACTCTTCCCTGGGAGCCCAGGAGCCTGGGACTCTCTGGTCCTGTGTTCCTTTCTCACATGGCCTCAGTCTAGAATGAACCTGTGCGTCTGTCCTTATTTGTGGACACCGTTTGTGAAAGTGTGTTGAGTGAGTGAATGAATGAGTGAATGAGTGAATGCTTGCTTGCCTAGGATTTTCCTAGAAGTTGCTCCTTCACCGTCCTCTTCCATAGAAGAAAAACTCGTGTTTTGTGGCCAGCTTTTAGACACTGTGTGAAAGCAACTCATTCGAACTCTTCTTTGCTCTGTAGTTGAATCTTTTAAGGCGTGAGGCACACTGGCATAGTAAAGGCCCTGGGAAGTATAGGGGCAGCATCAGCAATGGGTGCCAGCTCCCTGGAATGATGTTTCTATTTGCTTCTTGGAACTCAAGGTCCTTGCTTCTAGTAGCCTGGTACCTACTAGTTTGTTTTTAAATCAGGGTTCCTTGAATGCTCAGGCTGTGGTAATTCTGAAATGTGTTTCATTGTCTCTGCTTTTATCGTGGCCGGGAGGGCTAACCGTATGCCTCCCCAAGACTGTCCAGGCCAGCTCACACACACTTTTCCCTGCAGCTCCTGCCTATCCCCGACTCACTGCCCATCTCACCGGATGACGGGCAGCATGCAGACATCTACAAGCTGCGTATCCGTGTGCGTGGCAACCTGGAGTGGGCTCCGCCCCGGCCTCAAATCATCTTTAATGTCCATCCAGCCCCGACGTGAGTAGCCAGTGCAATCCATGCCCTTTGGCAGAAGGCTCCCCGTCTCGTGAGAGCAAGCTAGCATCTCACCTCTTGTCTCCGCCTCCGGTTGTACTTTCCACGCAGTTCTGTGTGTTTAAAAGCATAGAAAGAGGATTCTCCATTTTATTTTGTTCTTCAATTCTTTTGGCCCTTCACTTCTTTCCCATACCTATCTGGATCCCCATTCCCCACCCCGAACCCCACCTTTTAAATCAGCATTTTCCAGACTGTTGCCTTTCTCCCAGTACTTTGTGAGCTTACTAGGTTTTCTTCTGTTCTTAAGATAAATGCTTTTCTCTCCCATTGTTCTTTCCGGGTTATTACTCCTCGTCTCTTGCATTTACACAGATACTGAGGATAATCAGTCACTGCCATAGCCCAACTCTGTAAGTTCTAACCTCACAGGCCCTCACTTTACATTAGTTCTCCCAGTAGAAATGAGTTTTGTCTAACTCTAAAGGTGGTGAAGTCTCGGCTCTCCCTTCCCTAACAAGAGTCTTGATATCATCACCCTTTACACCTCTGAGCCCTGGGTAGCTGCCGTCTGCTAATCCCCTCTCCTTCCTCTTTCTGCAGGAGGAAGATTGCCGTGGCCAAGCAGAATTACCGCTGTGCAGGATGTGGCATCCGGACTGACCCTGGTAAAGCTTTGTCCTCTCCCGTGCCTGTCAGAGGTCACCTGAGGAGGTGACAGCAGATATGGGCAGAAGGACCGAAGGGCCTGGCGCAGGAGGGGAGGTCTAGGCAGGAGTTGGCAGTTGTGGGGAGTCACCTGAGGGGGCAGTTCACCACCAGAACCACAGCCTGGGTACACTGGCTCACTGCGGCCACGTTCTTAGAGACAGGATCTCATCAGCTCTGGCAGGTTTGGATTCTTGGTGGCCTCCAGGGTGGGATGCAGGAGCCATAGACCTCATCATGTGGGGTTTTTCCAGCATTAGACATTCACACAGAAGTGGCTAGGAGCCACTTGGTCCCCCCCTGCTTCACAAGGCAGGTCCCCAGCTTCTGGGTGCAAAAGTCCCATCCAGCCTTTGGCTTTCCGGGTGTCCTAGATTACATCAAGCGGCTGCGGTACTGTGAGTACCTGGGCAAGTACTTCTGCCAATGCTGCCACGAGAATGCCCAGATGGTCGTCCCCAGCCGGATTCTGCGCAAGTGGGACTTCAGCAAGTACTACATCAGCAACTTCTCCAAGGACCTGCTCCTCAAGATCTGGAATGATCCTCTCTTCAATGTGCAGGACATCAACAGCGCCCTCTATAGGAAGGTCAAGCTGCTCAGTCAGGTCCGGGTAAGATGCCTGAACAAGCCACGTCACAGGTTCACACCTCTCCTCTCCTAGTCTCTGCTGGTGCAGTTTCCTTACTGACCCCACTTCCTGTCATGTCACCATTCATGTTCTGTATACTTCTTTGTCTGTCTGTTTTCCAGCGCTGGGGTTCGAGCCCAGCACTGGTACCTGTAGTACTAGCAAGCCCGAGCTCTACCACCAAGCTGCACTTGCACAGTTCCCGGGTACTTGTCCTGCCAGAATCTCAAACCTCCCAGCAGCTTTAAGGCTGTAGGTAGCACTAGGAAGCGGAAACCGTTTCTACACTCACTGAGCACAGGAGTGGAAATTTGAATCCCCGAGTTCTGTACAGCTGCCAGTGTGTCTGAGTGAGCATACTGACCTAGGAGAAGGGCCTTCCCTTGCTAAGGGTCACTGGAAGTGAGTTGTTGAAGTTGACGTTGTTGACTGAGAGGTGAGAGGGCAGCCCAGCTCTGGCAACTCCATGCAGAGTTTACAGGCACCTGCTGGCCCTTCTAACAGATCCTTCTCTTCCCTCCACCCCTCTCTTGTCTTCAGCTGCTTCGGGTTCAGCTGTACCACATGAAGAACATGTTTAAGACCTGCCGACTGGCCAAAGAGTAAGTCTCGTGGAGGCCGGAGTCGTCTGGCCTCCTGTTGGCTCTGAGAGGAACGTGTCCCAACAGTTGGCTCTGTTTTCCATGAGGAAGGGTTTGCAGCAATGTCTCAAAGTAGTGAATGGGAAGCCGTAGCAGGAATTAGATCTGTGTCCCCTCTGAGGAGGACTGTCCAGGGCCAGACACCACTTTCCAAGCTCACTCTGCAGGGTTTAGAAAGAAAACACTTCTGTCCTTCAGGTCCATGGTGTGGGGAAGCTGGGGTAGCCTGGGATACCTGGGCTGGCTGAACGTCACCCACCCCCATGAGCTTCTCTCCTGCTGAGTAAGGATCTTTGTACTGTCACGTGCCATATGAAATGTTTATTTCCACAACCCCCCCCCCCCCCCCCGCCCCCACTTCCTCTCATTTCCTGTAGGCTTTTGGATTCCTTTGACATAGTTCCAGGCCACCTGACGGAGGACCTCCACCTGTACTCACTGAACGACCTGATTGCAACCAAGAAGGGGGAACTGGGGCCCCGGCTGGCCGAGCTCACCAGAGCAGGAGCTGCCCACGTCGAGAGATGCATGGTGAGGAAGCCTTGCTGTGCCATGCAGCTGAGCCTTTGCCTGGGGCTTCGTGGTGGGCCAGGGTTCTTGACGTTGAGCTCCAGAAACTTGATAGGGCCAGTGTCGACACAGAGAAACCAGAGGACGTGCTGTTGGCTGAGTGAGTGAGCAGCAGGACCTCTGAAGAACCCGGGGTAGAGGAGGAAGTACTGGGGCGCTGAGGCAGGAGGACTGTCAAAACAAAAATACGAAAGAGTTAGGATGGGAGTCATTGCTAGTGTTGCCCCCGGGCAAGACTGAGCAGCCTTCCCTGGAGGGTCGCCACACTGGGGAGGACCTTTGCCCGGAATCTAGACCTGGTTACAGTCAGGTTCCAAGCAGTTCGCTGGCTGTGCAAGCCCGTTTTCTTCTTTCCCAAGTGAAGGTAACACTTAGATGAACTGTCCCCTCCTCTTGAGCTGCTGAGGGCTGATGAAATGGCTTGATGGCATTTCTGTAAACTCTATTTACAAATGTAAGTTATTACCCTTCATGGTAGGATCAACTCTCTTGGAAATGATGCTTTTAGATCTGCCCATCTCAACTGCCCAGTCTGTGATCCTGTGGTGGGGTGCGGGTGTGTGGGGTGAGGGTGTGTGGGGTGAGGGTGTGTGTGGGGTGCGGGTGTGTGGGGTGAGGGTGTGTGTGGGGTGCGGGTGTGTGTGGGGTGCGGGTGTGTGGGGTGAGGGTGGGTGGGGTGAGGGTATGTGGGGTGAGGGTGTGTGGGGTGAGGGTGGGTGGGGTGAGGGTATGTGGGGTGCGGGCGTGTGTGGGTTGAGGGCGTGTGTGGGGTGAGGGTGTGTGGGGTGCGGGTGTGTGGGGTGCGGGTGTGTGGGGTGTGGGTGTGTGTGGGGTGCGGGTGTGTGTGGGGTGCGGGTGGGTGGGGTGAGAGTGTGGGGGGGTGCGGGTGTGTGGGGGGGTGCGGGTGTGTGTGGGGTGCGGGTGTGTGGGGTGCGGGTGTGTGTGGGGTGCGGGTGTGTGTGGGGTGCGGGTGTGTGTGGGGTGAGGGTGTGTGTGGGGTGAGGGTGTGTGTGGGGTGCGGGTGTGTGGGGTGCGGGTGTGTGGGGTGCGGGTGTGTGGGGTGCGGGTGTGTGGGGTGCGGGTGTGTGTGGGGTGCGGGTGTGTGTGGGGTGCGGGTGTGTGTGGGGTGCGGGTGTGTGGGGTGAGGGTGGGTGGGGTGCGGGTGTGTGGGGTGCGGGTGTGTAGGGTGCAGGTATGTGTGGGGTGAGGGTGTGTGGGGTGTGGGTGTGTGGGGTGCAGGCGTGTGGGGTGAAGGTGGGTGGGGTGCGGGTGTGTGGGGTGAGGGTGGGTGGGGTGAGGGTGGGGGGGTGCGGGTGTGTGGGGTGAGGGTGTGTGGGGTGAGGGTGTGTGGGGTGCCGGCATGTGGGGTGAGGGTGGGGGGGGATATACTGCACTGTAACCTACCTGGAGGGTATTGTTTTAGGAAACACCCTTGACTTTACCTTTCATATTAATTACTAGTGGTACATGCTTCAAGATAACACCACTGCCCAGGCTGGGTGACAGATTTTAGGCCCCTCTTCTCAGAACCGCCCCTTCCTCCTTGCCTGTTCGCCAAGAGCTGCTCCAGTGGCAAGGGCTTCCCGAGCCTGTGTCTCCCTTGTCCTTGAGTTTTGTGTGATGGTGCCCAGCCCTCATTCGGCTGTCATGCTCACAGGTCCAGCCCTAGGCTGTACCCCACAGACAGTAGACCCCTTCATCCTGCTCAGTTTTATCTGTGGTTTGCTTCTCCCTCACCGAGTCTACCCTTCTGGGCCAGGCCCTCACTCTGCTACCATCACTTCCCTCCATAGCTGTGTCAAGCCAAGGGCTTCATCTGTGAGTTCTGCCAGAATGAGGATGACGTCATCTTTCCTTTCGAGCTACATAAGTGCCGGACCTGTGAAGGTGAGGATGGTGATATTTTATTTGTGCTGAAATGTGATTTTATTTGTATGTTAATAAAGTTGTCTGGGGATCAGAGCTAAGAGCAAGCCGTTTAGCAGAAGTCCGGCGGTGGTGGCACACGCCCTTAATCCAATCACATGGCAGGCAGAATCTCTGTGTGTTCAAGGACACAGCCAAGCAGTGACCCGAACCTTTAATCTCAGTACGAACCATAGAGACCTGGAGGTCTGTATAGACAGGCAGTGACGAGGAAGTCATGTGGTTGGGTTTAGAACTAGTGAGAAGGCAGAACAGAAAGGCAATAAAAAGACAGGACACAGGAAGAAGGTCTCTCTCTGAGGGGAAGGATGGCAATGAGTGATAAGATGAGGTGGTCTTAGCTTTTGGCTACTGCTCGATCTCTGGGCTTTTAACTCGTTATTTGCCTCTGCATTTCTTAGTTAATAAGACTGTTTAGAATTACAGCTACAGGTGAGGATGGATGCTAGCATTGAGACAAGCAAGGCTGCACACAAAGTGAATGTGTTACCTGACAGTCCTCTGTTAGCAAGACTATGGGGTGAGTGACTCCACCACCACCTGAGCAGGAGCTATGGGGAGAGGTGGCTGAGGTGGTAACTTGCTTCCAGCCTGGGATAAGACAAGTCATTTTCTTCTCTCTCTTTTTCCACCTGAATAGAGTGTAAAGCGTGTTACCATAAAGCTTGTTTCAAGTCTGGAAGCTGCCCCCGGTGTGAGCGGCTGCAGGCCCGGCGGGAGTTACTGGCCAAGCAGAGCCTGGAGTCCTACCTGTCTGACTATGAAGAGGAGCCCACGGAAGCCTTGGCTGTAGAGGCCACCGTCCTGGAGACCACCTGAGGAATGCACCTCAGCCCTTTGTCTGAGGGGCTGGCTAGAGGCAAACGATAGAGAACTGAGCCACACCTTCGAGGAAGGTGTGGGGCCTTTTTAAAATATATCGTCATTGTTTATGACTTGTCTGCTGTCCAGGTGTAGACAACCTTTCTTGGTTGATGGGTCCAGTCTGTTGTGACAGATATCTGTGAGCATTGGGTGTTTCCGTCAGGACTGCCACTTGGACTGCCTCTCGTCAGGGGAACGGACAGCGAGACCCAGCTCTTCTGACATGCTTGGCCTGTTCCACAAGGCTCAGATCTGGTGACAGCCTCGGCTCAAGGATCATTCCCACTCTTGACTTAGTTCCACAGCTTCTGAGCCAGGCCTTTCTCAGTCAAAGATCTTCACCTTTGCTGCTGAAACAGGAGAATGGAACTTTCCCTGTCCCAGTCCTGAAAGAGTAAGACTGCGCCCTGAGGCAGGGAAGGGAATGGGGCTGCACGGTGGTCATTCTGTCCGACTTATTAGGCATTTGGGGGCAGGTAAGAACGGAATCATTATTGTTCTAGACTCCTCAGAGACCTCGGGAGGCGAGCATGACTTCCCTGTTTCAGGTATTCCCGGCATAGGTGGACACGAGCTGGCTTGTGTCCTCTGAGGGGCCTGAAGCAAAGAACAGAACTGGGTCTTAGGCCAGGCCCATTTGTAGCCAGCACCACACAACAGTGGGGCTGCAGCTGGTGCCTGAGGAGATGTTGTTCAGATACAGGATGATGGCCGCCTCTTGGGTGTTGAGACTCTCGGCTGACTAGCTTGAGTGCAGGTGCACTCCAAGCTCAGGCAAGTCCCTCATGCCAAGCTGAGGCAAGGGTAGAAACTCCACCCACCACCTTAATGGTGGGCCCCTGACTGCGCTGTATGACTGTGTGACCACTCTGGTTCTGAGTAAAGGTATGACCCAACTCCCCTCTCCGTCCCTCCCCCCAGAGCTGGGGCCCTCCCGTTGGCTGATCTCTTGCCTTAGTTTCTTTTCTCAGAGTTGGGAGAAGCCTGCCCACTTAGGAGCATTAGCGACCTCAACAGTTTGTGAATGTTTCTGTTTGCCTTTCTGCTGTTTACGCACCTAACTCCTCAGCCCCGGGGATGTGTGTTGGCTCATCTGTTTCCTATTACTAATTTTAACAGACTCCTCCATCATCACTCAATGTGCATTCTATGGCGTTTCCTAGACTAAGCCAGACACACGTTTGCTGTGGCGGCGTTGGAATTGCTGCAGCGCCTAACCTCCCTGTGAACACTGGTCAGGGTTGCATCTCAGAGCCTGGCAGTTGTGTGAACTGATGTCCACAGTGCTTTTGTTCGGAACTGACTTCCTCCCGCCTGTCTCCCTGTCCCCTTGTACTTGGTTGCTAGTAAAGTAATTGGCCCGGGCACTGCCCCCGGAAGCCAAACAATTGCACGTGGGTTGGTGGATGCTGACAGGTTCTGAGCTGGAGGGAACAGGGGTGTCCCAGAGAGACAGAAGGGATGCAGGTGTAGCAGCCACACTGAGCTCCAGCAGAGCAAGAGGAACATGTCAGAACTGGCCCGTGGTGCGGTTCCTCCGCCTCACATTTGGGAGCTGACACTGGGCCAGATGACCAGGACTGTTCTCTCAGTTGGCGGTCACACCAAAAGCTGAGGCCAGGGGCAGTTTTGAAGGTCCGGCTAGAAACTCCCCTTCCTTCAAGGAGATTTAGGAATGATCCCTTCAAACTCAAGTGTCACTGAGTCAGACCTCGGATTCAGACTCTGACTCCAGTTCCAGTCTGTGACTGACTTCCCGTCCAGCTGCTCACTCCAAGTCACCGCACTGGAGGAGACTGCTGCCCGCACTCCCTGTCAGCACAGGCTGCAGCTGACCTCAGCAATCTCACTGACTCTTCAGTTTCCCCACCCCCACCCCTGTAGATCACATATCTTCTAGTGACCCTGAGGCTGCTGTCATCACCGTCCAAGTGCGTCTTTATTTATTCGGGAGTCGAGGAGAGGGGCAGAGGGGTGTTGTACAAGCACTTTGTCACTTAACAGTATCTGAGAGTCCCCTGCGGTGGGGATTCGGAATGCACTGAAGAGGGCTTGCTCGGAGGTGAGGTGAGGTGAGGCAGAGGGAGCATCCTCTCTGTACAAAGGGAAGCATTTACTCCTGAGGTGGAAGCCCCACACTCTGCCCTTAGGAGGCTCTTACCAGCTCCCTCTGCCGAGGGTTGAGAGCTTTTGCTGAACTAACAGAAAAGGAGCAAGGTCTAAATAAAAACCTCTGTTTGTGTACAACTTGTGTTTTGAACTGGATTTTCACCTGCTGTAATTCGTGCGCATCCTAACATGGCCATCTTCAATAAACTAAGGAAATTAAGTCTTGCCCTGTATTTACCTGCCTTGATGACTGTGGAATGCCATTATGTCTCTACTGAGAAGCAGCCATGTCTGAAAATTACCCGTGTGGTTCTGTGGCGTCTCCTCCACATGACTGTGTGTGTTAGTTGTTTCATTATTGTTGTTACGGTTGGTTTTTAAAGACAGGGTCTCACCATGTAGCCCAGACTGGTCTCAAACTTGGAATCCCCCTGCCTCTGCCTTCCTAGTGCAGGGATGATGGGTACACACTGCAGTACACTGGCTCTTTAGATGTCTCATTCCGATCTCCCACCACTGTCTAAAACCAACATTTATCTCTGCAAACCTAACCATTAGTGACTCAGATTGGAAAACTAGTTGGCTTTGACTTCCTCTGAATCGGGTCCCGTGTCTGGCTAGTCAGGCATTACCCCCTCCCCACCACCTGTCCTTTTCTTTAAATGGATCTCATTCCGTCTCCCCCCCTCCCACACAAGTGCAGCTTCTCTCAGTGGTCTGGGGTCACGTCGGTTTCTTGTTCGTTCACTTTCATCAAGTATCAGGTACCCACTATATACCAATTTCTGTGGTAGCCTGTGGGGCTATAGCAGAGAGCAGAGTGGAGATAGACCCCTCCCTGCCCATAAGGAAATGAAACACTTGTGTGGTATAAATTGCATAAAATCACCAGTGTGTGTATAGTCAGCCATGTGTGCCTGCAGGTCTTGAGAGCAGTCGATTAAAATGCTGGATATGGTGACGTATACCTGTAGTCCTAGCACTTGAGGGGCTTAAAAAGCCAAAGTATTGAGAAAAAAAATACAGTAAAAGCTATCACAAATTTAAGAACACACTGTAGTAATTATTTCCATTATATTAGATATCATGAGCTATATAGATTGTTTAAAATATACAAGTGATATGAATAGATTACATGCAAATACTAGGCCATTTTATATGAAAGACTTGAGCATTGGTGGATCTTGGGAGCCCTACACCCAGTCCCCTAAAGCTCTGGGGATGGCTGCAAAGGAAAAGAGCAAATGCTCTTTAAAACAAAACCAGGACACCGAATTGAGGCCAGAGAAAGGGGAAGCCCCCAAGAGTGATTCTGCAGCTCTTTTTCCCCAAGAATGCGGCTCAGAGGACGAGGACATCTCTAGGCAGGAGCTGGCATGTGTGGTTAGCCTCAGAGAGGAACGGGGGCTAGAACCGGAAAGGACTTGTTGGTTCGTATTTTTATTTTTTTTTTGTAGCTCACACTGGCCTCCAACTTGGGAGTTCTCCTGCCACAGCCTCCAGAGTGCTGGGTTTACGAATGTGCACCGTCACAATCAATTACAGTTTTAGATTTAAAAGGGAGTCGTGTGTAAGCGTGATTGTGGACGCAGGCGTGTGCACTCACGGCACCTGTATAGGTCAGATGACAACCTCGGGGGGTGAGTCGTCCTCCTTTGTTGAGCTGGGGTCCCTGTAGTTTGTCGTGCTGCAGACCCCAGGCTAGAAGGCCCTCAGGCTCTGGGTAAGTTTCCTGTCTCTGCCTCCCATCTTGGTGTCGGAGTGCTGGCTACAGATAATGCACGCCGCCACGTCCAGCTCTTTCCATGGGTTCTGGGGATCGAACTTGAGTTTGAAGCATGGTTTCCAAGGACTGAGCTTGGGTCGCCAGGCTTTGGAAGCTATTGCTATTACTTGCTGAGTAATTTCCCTATCACCCCCACCCCCCCTTTTTTAAAGATAAGGTCTCACATCACCCAGGCTGCTTTCAAACTTGCTGGATAGCGGAGAATGACTAACTCCTGATCCGTTTGTATCTCCATCTTCCAAGTGCTGGACTCACTGGGATATGCCTCTCTTCCCAGCAATTTTAGGATTTGTATTGAGAATCAGTGCAGTAGACAAAATGTTTGTGTTACCCCTAAAATTCACATTGAAGGCTTTATCCCAACGCAATCTTCCTATAGGGCCTTTGGGAGGCAAATGGGATCATTAGAGTAAAGCCCCATGATGCGCCTTAGGAAGAATGCCAGGAGGCTGGGTAGCTCTTTCTGTAGGTGTTACAGCCCCGAGGGGAAAGGTATCCCCAGTGCAAGTGTTACAGCTCTGAAGGGAAAGCTGGCCTGGCAGCTGGGAGCCAAGGGATACTACAAAGTCACCTCACACAACAAACCTCACACAAGAGATGAATTGGGAAAGACACGAGAGGGCGAGAGGCAGCGAAGAACTGAGTGAATGGCAAGGTTTATAAAGGGTTCCTCGAGGGACGCAGCGTTTTCCAGGGTGGGGATTGATGGGATTTCAAACCCCAGAAGTGAGCTCAGACCTTTTACCCTATGCTTTCCATCCTGTGAGGGCACAGCACAAAGAACTGTAAACCAGAAAGAGTGTCCATAGTCACCAAGACCCAACCCTGTTGGCATCCTGATCTCAGACTTCAACCTCCAGAACATTGAGAGAAATCTTGATCATGTTAGCCACCCAGTTTATGGCATTGTTTAAATAGCAGCTCAGTCTAAGCCAATGGGAAAGCCACTGAAGAGTTTTATTCAAAGAAGTGAGTGACTGGTCAAAGTGTCATCATCCTCTGCAGAGAAAGGGCAGACAGCAGGATGTTCTCCTGGGGAGAGGGCTCTAGTGAGCTCAGAGGAGGTTGTGTTGAACTGGACTAATGTATTGAGTGCCATTACCACCTCATCACTATGACCCTATACGAAGACAGAGCCGGTCTGTTCTGCTCAGGTGTGTCTTAGCATGTTTAGTCAGAGAGCAGAAGGCTGGGAAGAGCATATTTCAAAAGACAGGGCAAAGGACAGAACCTCAGGGGAGTCGGGGACGACTCGGGAAGGGCGGGGACCAAGGAAGCCCGAGACTCGTGGTTCACAGACTTTCACTTGAGCCTTCAGCTGTACTGAAGACTCACCCCCGAGAAACGGGGACACCCCAAAAGAAAGGGAACTGACCCGAGCAGCCATCCACGGCGGCATTGGCCATGCTACTTGTGTGTCCCTCTGGCCTCCACTGTGTGTAGGTGCACCGGATCTGTTAAGGCCAGAGAGAGCGGCTGATCAGTACAGCCTCCAGGCTGAGGTAAGAGCCAACCCGACTTCCTTTCCCTTGGAACTTTTGGTTTAGAATATACACAAATAATGATTACTGCTCTTGTGCCCTGATCAACTGCAGATCCCTGCTCTACCCCTGCCCAGGACATCAAACGGCTCATTTTTAAGGCGATAGAAGCCGCCATGTGGCTCACATCTTGCCCACCTCATGAGTTTGAAGTTCTTGGCAGCAAAGATGAGGGTGGCTAGGAAGGAAACAATCTACCCAACACAAGCAAGGGGTACAGAGGACTCGGGTGTGCTGAACACTGCAGTTCTGCCTTGCCCGGTTAAGCCAAAAGAAACCATGCCGATGTCTTGAGGGAAAGGAGGCCCAGGCAGACAGAGCCCACTCTCCCTTTGGCTGGCTGTCCCTCTCCCGTGTGGTTACTGGGGTCCTATAGTCAGGGGGATTAGCTAGTTTTCCTCCCAGCTGTGTATCTGTGCAATTATTTTTAATTACGAATGTATACCTTAAAATTAATAAATCTATCACTAATAAAACTACACTCATTTTTAATGCATTTTCCTTCTTTTATGTGTCTTTTCATTCTCAGCCTATTTTTACATGATTATAATCGTGTAAATACAGTTTTTGAGGGTAAGGCAGTGGTGGGTGAGCAAGGTCTAATGTACCCTAAGCCTGCTTTACTGTGGAGCTGGAGGTGACCTTGAGTTTCTGATCCTCCTGCCTCCACACCTTTCACGTACTGGGGTATCAGGTGGACCTCACCTGTCCAGCTTGTGTGGTGCTGAGTGTGGGAGTCCAGCTCCCACTTTTTGAAGTGTTCTTAGGAGGAGGAGGAGAGAGAGATAAGAAAATATTAGATAGAAAGAGAGACCTAGCCATCCAGAAGAAAGACAGAAACACAGGATAGCTTCGGGAGGGCCTGGATCAATACCCAGTGGTCTCAAAGATTTATTCAAAAGCCTTCTTATAACATGCCAAGGAGGGAGACAAAAGACCTCCCCCTTGCAAGATCAAAGCACATGGCACAGCCAAGTGTAGACCCTTCCAAACACCTAGTAAACACGCCCATGACCAAATCATCTCCTTACGCAGCCCTGCTGGGTAAAGCAAGCTTAGATTCTCTGACCCTGAGTAAGTTCTCACTAGGAAACCTCTGTGGGCTCCCACAGCTGAGGATGAAATTTGGAACAAAGCAATGGCCCAAATGGTGGTTATTCTAGCTTGGCAATGAGACCACCATGCCAGCTAGACTCTGGGAGTGCTATGTCCTAGCCTCCGTCTCCAGACTGTCCCTCCAATTCACGATGTCAGGGGCTTCCCTTTGGATTTTTTCCACTCTGCTTGTGTTATGTGGAGTCTGCTCTATTACTGGAAATGAAGAGCCCTGGTACATACAATGAGAGGGCACAGTCATTCTTGTGCACATGCCAAGGGAGCCCTGGCACGCACCGGGAGAGGGCAAAAGTAAAGGTAGTATCCGAAATCAGCCACAAATTTCAAAAATATTGACTTTGCTTATCCAACTTAAAGTGATCCAAACCTGTGTATGACCTTTTAAGTATGTGTTCGTAACTGAGTGCCTGGCTGAAGTTCCTGCCTTTTAGGAATTTACTATTTAGTTATTAAGATAGGAACACATAAGTAAAAGTATTAGACATGGAAAGCTCTCTGTGTCCTGGGCACTACTCTAAATTATTTATATATGGATGACTTACTAACCCTCCCAAATACCCTTTGAAGTAGACAGAATTATCATTTCTGCTGTACACAAGTAAGCAAGGTACAGAGAGAGTTTAAGTGACGTGCTTACCACATCCCAGCTAGCGTTAGTGGAGCCTGGATCCACACACACATGGCCTGGCTCCAAAACTCCACTCTTAACCACTGTGTTATGCCAAGATGAGTGAAAAGACCGAGTTCCAAAAGCCAGAGAAACGGGCAGTGAGTGCGGTCACGCAAGACA